TTGAAAATATAATTAATTGAAATTATTTAAATAAGTTAAAAATAAAGTAAACATAGTACCTGAATAATCAAAGACAATCAATTCTTTGTTCAAAGAATTTACACATTTACAAGAAGAGGACTTGATGACTCGCATTGAACAGTTATATTGCTTAAAATACCCAACCTTGATTAAAAGTCAAGATAACTGGTTTAATTCTTTTAACTTTAATATGGTTAGAAACAATTTTAAATTAGAAATTCTAACAAATTTAAAAAATATTAGAATTGAAAATTTAAATTCAAGAATATATTACATACCTGTGAACACCAAACACGAGCTTTATGAAAAAGAGAAAGTTTTTGGTGATAATGCTCCCAACACTCACGGCAATACCAAATAAAAGATCAATCCGGACACTATTAATTGATCTATAGAGTCATCCTTATCACACATACAACAAGGTATGTTTAACAAAGGTTCAGTATTTTTTCCAGTTTCATTATCAGTGCATCTTGTTGCTAACAGTGATACAGATGAACTTTGCAACTTTAAAGCTATTGCTTGTTTTTTTAATGCACACCAATTTTCTGCCTTTTTCCTCGTAATATCATTATATGGAGGCTGTAATCTCTTATAAAATGATTGTTTGATAACTATATTATTATCGTAGTTCTGAGAGCTGCTGGTAGACACCTCATCGTCATCAACATCTGTTAATACATACATATATATATATATATATATATATATATATATATATATATATATATATATATATATATATATATATATATATATATATATATATATATATATATATATATACATACATACATACATATATATATATATACATATACTTTTTATTTAATGTAAATATATATATATATGTATATATATATATATATATATATATATATATATATATATATATATATATATATATATATATATATATTTATATATATATATATATATATATATATATATATATATATATATATATATATATATATATATATATTTAGAAATTATCAGTGGTGTGCTACAGGGGTCAGTAAAATGGATCATTTTTGTTTGTGCTATATATAAACACTTTTCCTGAAACCTATCTATGTTGTACGCTAATGACACTAAAATAATGAATGAAATAATTTGCTACAAATGAATGAAATAATTTGCTACAAACAGTGTCTTTGCAAGCAGATCTTGATATATCTTTCAAGTGGAATCAAGAATGGCTTGTAAAATTCAATATTTCTAAATGTAAAAGAGATCTAGGAGTAATTTTCGCAAACAATCTAAAATGGAAAAATCAAGTTATATCATGGCAAAGGAAATCAAATGCTGGGTATGATTAGAAAATGTTTTGTTCATTTAGATATTAGACTACTGAGATCACTTTACTTATCTTTTGTTAGGCCACTATTAGAGTTTGCTGTACCGGTTTGGTCACCGAATCAAAAAGGTGAAATTGACTTATTGGAAAGAGTTCAACATCGTGTAACTTGACTAATACTATCATTCAAGAAAATTAACTATGAGAATCGTCTAAAGGCTCTTGACTTAACTAAGTTGACAAATAGAAGAAAAAGAGGAAACATGATTCAACTTTTTAAGATCTTTAACTGTTTCAACAAATTAGAAACAAAAGTAAAGTTTAATTTTCAACAAAATCAAACAATAGGTCACCGGTTTAAAAATATAAAATAATTCACTAAGCAAGCTCATCGCAGAAACTTTTTCTTTAACAGATCAGCCAATTTGTGGAATAGCTTGCCGAACAATTTGGTTAATTCAGAAACAGTTAACAGTTTTAAAGCCGGTCTTGATTGCTGGATGAGCAGCGATCAGATAAATCAGATGTTATAGTAAAATATAATTGATGTAACTGGTTCATACCAGTTACATCAATTAATAATAATAATAATAATAACAACAACAATAATAACAATAATAACAATAATATATTTATATATATATATATATATATATATATATATATATATATATATGTATATATATATATATATATAATATATATATATACATATATATATATATATATATATATATATATATATATATATATATATATATATATATATATATATATATATATATGTATATATATATATATATATATATATATATATATATATATATATATATGTATATATATATATATATATATATATATATATATATATTATATATATGTATATATATATATATCTATATCTATATATATATATACATATATATATATATATATATATATATATATATATATATATATATATATATATATATATATATATATATATATATTATTATATATATATATATATATATATATATTATATATATATATATATATATATATATATATATATATATATATATATATATACATACATATATATATATATATATATATATATATATATATATATATATATATATATATATATATATATATAAAGCCTTATATTAAGCCTTATATATATAAAGCCTTATATATGTTCCTTATTGTTGCTTAATTAATAGTTAGACATGAATGTGAATGAATGAAGATCTTGAATAAACACATTCTTAAGATTCTTAGAAATGTTGTATTTAAGACCTTGAATAAACACACATTCTTGAATGTGTCTAATTATTAATAAACAAATGCATAAATAAACATTCTTAATAAGAATGTTTGTTTATGTATGTAAGTACAAATTAATTTTAAATATACCTTTGTTTTTTTTTAAAGGTTGAGTTTCAGCATTGTTAGAACCGTACCAATTTTTTGTAACTTTTCTTTTGTATTCTCCAACAACATTAATAGTAACTTTTCTTCGAGCTCGAAAGCTTCGTGAACTTCTAGACGCCATTTAAATAAATTAAAACCTTCGCTACGAAATTCCAACGCTACGAAATTCCAGCCTTATTATTATATTAGGTTTATACGTAAAATACATAATTCGATGACATCGAAAAATAATATCACATGTGTGGCGGTGTGGCAAATACACGGCTGATGAGATCGGAAAACACAGAGATATTTTATTTCGATGAGATCGACAAATTTTACTTAGGATCGGGTGTAAAAAAACTGAACAGTACAATCATAAGAGAAATGGCAGACTATATTACTACGTCAGATGTGAAAAAATTAAAAATGCTTTTAGATATTCTTTTTGGTGTAAAAGAAAAAATAAATGACGGATGGATTAGATTTTATGGAGTACATTCAGTACAAGAAATTTGTGTTTCAACACACTTGAGTATAAAACTATCGAAGCAAAAATAAAACTTGTTTTAAATTTATTAAAAGAAATTGGTTGATGGGATATTTATAAAAGGTTTATAATTAGAACAACCTCCTCATCCACAGATGAAAGATCAAAGATATCCGTATAATCCTCCAACATATTATCCGCCTGAAGTTGTTAATTTAAAACAAGAAAAACTTTTTAATTATTATAATAAAAAATAATTTTTAACTTTCATTTTTGTATATTTGTTTTATAGTAAAATATAAATTTTTTTTTTTAATTTGTTTTTTTTTTTTTAGCAAAATGAAAAAAAAATAATTAATAAAAATGCTTAGTGAAGTTAGAAAATTTCGTATATTGGCACAAAAGAAATAGGAAGTTCGGACATTTAACTATCGATTTGTTTTTGATAAAAATGTTGAAACATGGTCTTTAGAAGATTTGTGTAAAAGAAAATTAGCTTACGAAACACTTTTGAACACAGTTATAACAAATTTACAAAAAGAAATCAATGATTTAATGTGTCAATTTTTTCAAACAAAAATTTATAAAAGGGATATAATATTTATCAATTATATGTTGACGGTTGTTTTTATAACATTATTAAGAAATCTAAACAAAAAAAACATTTAAATGTTCAATATTTAATTATACATTTATCGACGTGTTGTTTATTTTACAACAAATTTTTTTATTTGACTTGAAAATAAAAAAATTTGTTGATAACAAAGCTGTGAAAGATTTACAAGAAAAAATAAATCAATCATTACAAAACCCATACATTTGTAACCCTAACCCATAACTATCCTGAGTTGAGAATGGAAATTTGACAAAAACATAACTATCCTGAGTTGAGAATGGAAATCTGACAAAAACATAACTATCCTGAGTTGAGAATTAGTTAAACAATTATCAACAAAACAAAAAAAACAGTTAACTAATGGGAATAAAAAGAATATTATGAATTTAACTGAACTATATATTTTAATTATAAAATTATTTAATATATTGAATGTTTCAAAATATAATATTGCTTCATTATTTTTAATTAAATTTAACTACAACAGCACCAATTAGTTTCCAGTAATATTTTGCTCAAAATATTAACCTGACTATCAAAAATAAAAAAAACATACCAATGCGACAAGTCTGGAATGGTCTCCAAGACTTGGAATAATTTCTTATCTCGTACATTCTTCATGCAACTTTTATAAAACTGAGTTGTATCTTTATAAAAACGCCATTTGCGCAACTAAATTCATATGAAAATTTGTAAAAAAAAATTGAACATTATTTGCATCAAATACAGTAAATTAGATAAAGCATATAAGATAAACAATCTATTAAATGGCTGTAGTTGCTTTTTAGTTTCTTGTTGAAATATTTCGAAGTTTTCAGAAATAATTAAGTTTTATAATACTTTTTTTTTTCCTTTCAATATTCTATATTATTTTATTATTTATATTTTAATGTTATCTGAATTTAATTTTAAGATTTTATTTCATCTTCAACAAATGAAATCTTAAATTGAAGCTGTCCTGTTTTTTTGAACAACTTTTTAATCAAATAATTGGAATATTAAATTAAGTTTTAGACCCTTTATCTAACAAAACATTATGAAATATTTAATAATATTGAAGATATGACAGAAAAATAGAACTTAATATAGTAAGCCTGATTAAACTCGAATAATTCCAATAAAATATTTATTTATTCATTCATTTATTAAGTTATTTTTGTTAAGTAAGTTATAAAAAAGATAAAGGGGAGTGTAAATTATTTGTCTCATTTTTTTAGTATAAAAATTTACTACTGTCAAAGTCATTGAGAAATTTATTTTCGGGAAGTTAACAAATTCAGCCAAATAACAGATACAGCTTAATAATTTTTTTTTGATCAAACAAAATCAAATTAAATATTTAATTAGCCAAAAAAAAGATAAATGAATGTTAATTAGCCAGTTAAAAGTTAAAAAAATGTTGATTAGCCAATTAAAAGATAAAAGAATGCTAATTAACCCACCAATTACTCAAATTAAACATGAAATTAAAAATTTATTTTCAATCAAAATACCTTTCCAACACGGCAAGCTTCCTGTTCTGTTAAAATAAGGACAGCAAAAAGATCTATTAATTTTGGTTCATCAACCAAAATATTTGAAACTTGATTAAAAAATTCTATTATGGTGGACTTTCCTGTTTCGAATTTGTTCATCAAAAGAAGATACTGCTTTGTCAAATTAGTATTCTTTATTTTACATAAAGTTTCAAAAAATAACAATTTATTTTTAGTTGCATGCTTTGATAAACCTAGAGAATTCACAAAAAATGTGTTATGATGAGATGTAGACCATAAAAATCAATGTCTGATAAATCGATTATTGAATTGGACCAAATGAATTTAAGATTGCAGTCTACGAACCTTATCATACTCAACCTTCGTATTCGCTCGACGGTTATTTGTACCGATTAAATATTTTAGGTTACTGTAATAAAGAAAATAAATTGGCTATTTATTTTCAACTGATGCAGTCTCCAATGGATCATTCTTTAAAGTGGCCGTTTATAAAGACTGTAACATGTACAATTAAAAACGATAACTGTACATTTAATTTTTCTTAAAATTGTATTGAAAACATTAAAGCCGATTATAGCGAACCGTTTAAAGAATGTTTTGAAAAACCTGCTCAAGCATATAACCGAGCTGTTGGATCAGAAAGTTTTGCAACACATGAACAACTTCAAAAACATTATATAGAAAACAATAAACTTATTATTCACGTTTCTTTTATATAATTTCTTATGTATTTTTTTTATTTTGTATTTAATATAATTTTGTATTCTATTTTAAGCTATTAAAAAAAACTGAACAGTACAATCATAAGAGAAATGGCAGACTATATTACTACGTCAGATGTGAAAAAATTAAAAATGCTTTTAGATATTCTTTTTGGTGTAAAAGAAAAAATAAATGACGGATGGATTAGATTTTATGGAGTACATTCAGTACAAGAAATTTGTGTTTCAACACACTTGAGTATAAAACTATCGAAGCAAAAATAAAACTTGTTTTAAATTTATTAAAAGAAATTGGTTGATGGGATATTTATAAAAGGTTTATAATTAGAACAACCTCCTCATCCACAGATGAAAGATCAAAGATATCCGTATAATCCTCCAACATATTATCCGCCTGAAGTTGTTAATTTAAAACAAGAAAAATTTTTAATTATTATAATAAAAAATAATTTTTAACTTTCATTTTTGTATATTTGTTTTATAGTAAAATATAAATTTTTTTTTTTAATTTGTTTATTTTTTTTAGCAAAATGAAAAAAAAATAATTAATAAAAATGCTTAGTGAAGTTAGAAAATTTCGTATATTGGCACAAAAGAAATAGGAAGTTCGGACATTTAACTATCGATTTGTTTTTGATAAAAATGTTGAAACATGGTCTTTAGAAGATTTGTGTAAAAGAAAATTAGCTTACGAAACACTTTTGAACACAGTTATAACAAATTTACAAAAAGAAATCAATGATTTAATGTGTCAATTTTTTGAAACAAAAATTTATTATAGGTATATAATATTTATCAATTATATTTTGACGGTTGTTTTTATAACATTATTAAGAAATCTAAACAAAAAAAACATTTCAATGTTCAATTTTTAATTATACATTTATCGACGTGTTGTTTATTTTACAACAAATTTTTTTATTTGACTTGAAAATAAAAAAATTTGTTGATAACAAAGCTGTGAAAGATTTACAAGAAAAAATAAATCAATCATTACAAAACCCATACATTTGTAACCCTAACCCATAACTATCCTGAGTTGAGAATGGAAATTTGACAAAAACATAACTATCCTGAGTTGAGAATGGAAATCTGACAAAAACATAACTATCCTGAGTTGAGAATTAGTTAAACAATTATCAACAAAACAAAAAAAACAGTTAACTAATGGGAATAAAAAGAATATTATGAATTTAACTGAACTATATATTTTAATTATAAAATTATTTAATATATTGAATGTTTCAAAATATAATATTGCTTCATTATTTTTAATTAAATTTAACTACAACAGCACCAATTAGTTTCCAGTAATATTTTGCTCAAAATATTAACCTGACTATCAAAAATAAAAAAACATACCAATGCGACAAGTCTGGAATGGTCTCCAAGACTTGGAATAATTTCTTATCTCGTACATTCTTCATGCAACTTTTATAAAACTGAGTTGTATCTTTATAAAAACGCCATTTGCGCAACTAAATTCATATGAAAATTTGTAAAAAAAAATTGAACATTATTTGCATCAAATACAGTAAATTAGATAAAGCATATAAGATAAACAATCTATTAAATGGCTGTAGTTGCTTTTTAGTTTCTTGTTGAAATATTTCGAAGTTTTCAGAAATAATTAAGTTTTATAATACTTTTTTTTTTCCTTTCAATATTCTATATTGTTTTATTATTTATATTTTAATGTTATCTGAATTTAATTTTAAGATTTTATTTCATCTTTAACAAATGAAATCTTAAATTGAAGCTGTCCTGTTTTTTTGAACAACTTTTTAATCAAATAATTGGAATATTAAATTAAGTTTTAGACCCTTTATCTAACAAAACATTATGAAATATTTAATAATATTGAAGATATGACAGAAAAATAGAACTTAATATAGTAAGCCTGATTAAACTCGAATAATTCCAATAAAATATTTATTTATTCATTCATTTATTAAGTTATTTTTGTTAAGTAAGTTATAAAAAAGATAAAGGGGAGTGTAAATTAATTGTCTCATTTTTTTAGTATAAAAATTTACTAC